CCCTACCGCCGGGCGCGCCCCTCCCTGGGCCGGGCTCCGGCTCGGGCTCCGCCTGCGGCCAGCGCTCCTCGGCCGCGCACAAGCGCTACCGCCGCCTGCAGAACTGGGTCTACAACGTGCTGGAGCGGCCTCGCGGTTGGGCCTTCATCTACCACGCCTTCATGTGAGTTTGCGACCCCTCGCCCCCGCGCTCCCACCCGCACTGCCCTAGCCCGAACGTGGGCTCCCTGGAGACGATGCCCCGCCCTAGGTCCGCCTCCTACCCTCCACCCCATAATGGGCCCCCATTTCTCTCCCCCCAGGCGTGAGACCTATTTCTGATCCCCTGGGCCTGACCCTAACCTCTGACCCCTGTTTGACCTGGCTTATTTCCCCACCCCCCACCTCAGTTCCTCATTTCCGTCCTGGTCTCCAACCCTTGCTCTCTGTCCAGGTACCCCCCACATCCAGCGTTTTACCCCCCATCCTCTCCCTAAAGACTGGAAACGCTGAAGTGGGGCTCCCCTTTCTTTCTTCCCGCCTCTGCTTCCCTGTATCCCAAACAAAAAGAAGTCCCCACTCACTCTGTCACCTCCTCCCCAGCTCTGTAGCTACCTCATGATGGGCTCCCACCTGCCAGCCCCTTGGAGATGGCCCCCACCCCAGTCAAGGGCTGGCTTCTGACTGTAGGTGTTTGAGGTCCTCGCAGCCCACCTGGGCCCTGACACTGTGTGCTCTGCGACTTTATCTGTATCTTCACTCTGTCTTCCCTTCCACCCTCAACTTCCCCAGGCACAGCCGGCCTCCCTGCTTGCCTGCCCAGCTTGCTGGCCGGTTGCGCCAGGCCTGGCTCTGGGCACAGGGGAAAAAGAAAGAGGAGAGGAGTAGATTTGGAAACAGTGACGCTCGCCAGGCTCCTACAACTTTCAAAAACACTGACCCCTCTTGGATGTAAAGAATGAATTTTGGCAGCTCACAGCTGAGTCTTGCGGGATGGCCTGGCCCAGCCAGGAACATGAGAGGCCCTGTGGATATCAATTAAAGGGCTGGGCCTGGCGCTGGGACGCTTGGAGGTACTCGAGAGAGCCCTCTGCTCCCTGGAAAATATGCTGCTAATCCCTCACTGTCGCCCCCAGAGATGGGACTCTGGTCTTGGGGTCTCCTGGGTGGCCACGTGCCTGTCCAGCTGGATGTCCAGCAGTCTTTTTGCCTGTCCCTTTGCCAGGCTGAGTTTCCACCTATGTGTGAGTTGGCCTGTCTGCTCATCTCTTACTCACCTGCTTCTGCTTGCTGGTTTCCATCCCTCTGACGCCCTGTCTAGTTACCTGTGTGCCCATCTGTCCATCTGTCTATCCACCTGCCCGCCTGATAGTCTCACTCTGCTTCTGCTTGTCCGTTTTCACCTGCCTTTTGGTCTGCCTGCCCCTCTGGTACCTGCTTGCCTGCCTCTGCCCTGTCTGAACTGGTCCCAGGGAATTTCCCAGGTGAAGGGGAGGGGGCTGCTGGCACAGGAGCCCCCCTGACCACAGGGACAGGTTGAGGAAGGAAACGCTTTCAGTCATTAAGCACCTGGGGGCAGCAGCCTTGACTTTGTGCAGAGACTCTGCCGGGCTAGGCCGGAGGCAGAGTTGAGATTGCTTAGAACATGAGGTCAGGCTTTGAGTTAGGGTTCAGGGTTAGGGATAGCCCTCCCCGCCACCTCCCCCCCAGCCCCGTATCCATTGGGAGGGCCTGGGATGAATACTTAATCACTGCAGAGAGAACTGCTTGGAGTGGTGTGAGTTCAGTGCTGGGGTACAAGGGACCGTGGAGTGAGGGTGAAAGGCAGGGCTGTTAATTATGAGTGGATGCATTGTGGTGCCCTTGGCCACACAGCCCCTTGACCACCCAAGGAGGGGGAGACACTCTGCATGGAGCTGCCACACCCTCCGTGGACTCCTCTGGGGAGGTGACTTTTCCAAGGCATAGCTGGGCCTGGGGAAGCCAGTAGGAGGTAGGAGTCCTTAGCCTCCAGACCTGGTCTCTAAGCCCTCATGAGGGTCACTGGAGTTGAAGGACCCACTCCCTGTCCCATGGTCAGCCACTGGTGTCACCTCCTCTGGAAGGGCCTTCCATTCCTCTCCCGGAGCTAAATCCACTGGCACCTTTGCCCCACATCCCACACTTCCCAGATGCCAGGAATGCCCTGGCCAGGGGCGGCGTCTCCTGACCACTTGTCCCCAGGAGCCCAGGGCTGAGACATGTCTCAAGAGCTCTGGAGAAGGAAATGCAATGTGAAAATGGCCAGAGGTTTACAGATCTCAGGGAATTGATCATCCACCTTAGAAATCAAAGGGGACCAAAGGGTCAGGAGCCTCACCTCTTGCATTCTGTGCAAACTTGGGCTGATTGCTGGGCCTCTCTGAGCTTTAGATCACAAGGCTGTCACAGAGGTTGGAAACCCCAACCTTGTGGGCCCTCCCTCTTGTATGAAGTAATGGGTGGGAAAGAGTGTGGTAAGCTGCAACGGCTGGCCTATCTGAGCGTGAGAGATGGTTATTATTATTGGGGCTGAGGGAGGGTGCCTGTGCAGAGCTCTCTCCTGTTCTTGAGGAGCTCCAGATGTGGGGTTTCTCAGTCACTCACTGCAGGGTGTTGTGGGTGTTCTTGCCAGGAAGTGCTTTCTGCTGTTGGACTTCCATCCCTATTGCTGCCCTTTTGGTCAAATCCTTTCTCCCATTCTCCAGTCTCTCTCAGAGGCAGCCCCAGTGCCGGGGAGTCCAGTGTGTGCAGTTAGCTAGGACCCCCTTCCCAGACACTCAGGTGGTGGTGGGAGGGGCCCCATCAGAAGAGCCTGGGGGAGAGGGGCTCAGGAAGGAGGGAGTTGGGGTGAGCCATGTCCATCTGCTCCAGGAGACACCTCCTTTACACCCATCAGCTAGGTCCCTTTGGACCCCACATAGAAGCTGCACATTTTCTGGCATCCAGGGGAGGGTATGCCCAAACCACAAGCCCTGATTCGACCCTTCCTGTCAGCAGCTGGGGCCCCTGAGAAGTGGGAGCTGCTGACTCCTGACTTCTCTTTATTGAGATCCAGAATGAGGGATCGCTGGGCTGCTCTCTAAGCTCCCCCTCTTTTCTCTAGGCCCTTGGTCCTGTCACCAAGCCCCTGTCCCCCACCCTGCACCCCATCCCTGTTTAAGCATTCAACCCTTCACAAGCCCCCCTCTCTGATTTTAAGAGACACCCCATCACTGCCCACCCTGCTCTCAGAGCCCTTTGGGGAATGCCCACCCCCTTACCGCACCCTCTGTAAGGCCACACCAGCCTCCCTTCTGAAATTAGAGGGCCCATCTCCATCCATTCTCCCCAAGCCATTGTGAGACGCTTGCTGCTCCCAGCCCCCAGCTTCTCAGCAAACTTTCTCTATGTGAAGGTTTATAGCTCTGTAAACATCCTCCCAGCAGTCTCATCCCTGGGGTCAGAAGCTGTGGGAATGAGGAGGCGAAGAGGTGGCAGCCGCTCCTGGGGCCCTCAGGCTCCTAACCCGGGAGTCTCGAAGCCGCCCACCCCGACTGACCATCGCCTGGGTTGGAAATAGTCCCAGTGAAGGCTACCCAGAACCCTCAGGGAACCCTGCTAAAATGGTCCTCACATGTCGACAGCTCCATTTTGCTTATGAGAAAACTGAGGCTCTGGAGAAACAAAGTCATACAGTAAATTAGTTGCAGATACAAGACCAGACCCCAACACTCCTAACTGCCTGTCCAGGACTCTTCCCTTTGCTCCCTGCGGCCACCTGGCTTGGTTTTTGGATTTCAAACTGAAATTTATGATCGTGTGTGGAGCACCCTGCTGAGTGCCAGGCACTCTCACTGCAGCCTCAACCACCCCCAGAGGGGATACTGATAGCCTCCTCATTTGACAGATGAGGAAACTGAGGCTTGGGAGAGGTCACCAGTTAACATGGGAGAGCCTCAGCCAGAGCTAGGTCTAACTCCAAGCTGTCTTTCTCCTGTACCCCAGCTTCAGCAAGCCCCCACCCCACCCCATGCTCCTCAAAAGCAACACTCCTCTGTCATTGATCTCTCTGTCCCCAGCACCCAGGCAGCAGGGGGTGGGCAGAGATAGGATTTTGCGGAATTGAATGGAAACTGCTCAGCCCCAGCCAATGCAATCACACTTTTGTTGTACACAGCTTTGTATACTATCCCTACCGTCTGTCTGTCTCATGCACGTGCACACAAACACTGTGACATTGACACACATATCCATGGATGTCACAAAGGCACATGAAGCATGCATCCACAGAAAAGAAGTCTAATACACAAATGCCCACCTCTTCACCTCCACCTCATTTACAGACACACAAACATAGACACACACCTGGGCCTGTGGCCCCAGCCCAGGCCCCTAGGACAGAACAGAGCTGGCCTCATTCCTTGAGGTTTTTGCCTTCCCCGGTGGTGCAGTGGTTAAGAGTTCAGCTGCTAACCAGAAGGTCGACAGTTTGAATCCACTAGCCACTTCCTGGAAACCCTATGGAGCTGTTCTGCTCTGTCCTAAAGGGTCACTATGAGTCGAAATCAACTCTTTTTTTTGTTTGTTTGTTTTATCCATAACTGCAGGGCTGAGCTTCCGGGTCTGTGTGTATTTGTGCATCCACCCTGGAGGATGTGTCTGTGCCGCCTTCTAGGTGCATCTAGTATGTGGAGCCTCAGAACCATGTGGGAACAAGGTGGCTGGCTTCTTAGAACTTTGCTGCTCTTTGCTCCTCCTGAAGTGCCCTCCGAGATCATTCTGTCTGACCCTGCAGTGTACTGCTAGGTGTACCAAGACACAGAAAGGCGCATACTCGGCCAAGGTCACACCTAGAGACTCCGTGGTAGAACTGTGCCAGGAACCAGCCCCGCTACCTCCCAGATCAGGACTTTAGATTTTCCTAACCCCAGCTGACAGGGAAGCCTGATAACTCCAAGAACTTTGCCTTGCAATTGGGAAGGTCTTTGAGTGTGACCCATATTTTTGTGCTCCTGCTTTTCACCCCCTTTCCTTTTGTTTGGTCTTTGTAAGGAGAGGGAGAATGGAGGGGCCATCCTGTCTGCCTTCTATTCCTAAGCTGCCTTCCTCTACCCCCCTTCCTCTCCTTTATACCCCTTTGCTCCCTGCTTCCCAAGTTCTACTTTAGGGTCACTGGGGCAGGTT